TAAATGAGACCACATGCTAAATATGCACTGTATATTTCATTCATAATTATGTTTCAATTTCATGTAACAAAAAATGAAATATAGTTTGTACATTAAATATGGGTGATCACAGATATTCATAGAAAATTCATAACATCACAAAAAAGTGACCAGAAGTCATATAACATATGTTTTAGACAATCACATACCAAATATCCCCTGATATCTTCATTTATTGAGTCCAATTGCTGCATTTGGTATTCAAATTCATCCAATATATAAGCTCTTACAGCAAAATCGAATGCATGAGTGACATTGTGATCTGATTTTGCATAATGTGACTTCAAATTTTTCAGCAAATGGTATGACCAGATCCCATGCATTGCCTTTGGATATACAAATTCAATGGCGTTTCTTATGTTATTGTGTCTATCGGATACTATACATAATCCGTCTTTAGATCTGTACGCCCTCTTCAACATCTTAAGAAACCATCTCCATGACTTATCGTTAGCTAGTATGAAGATATTGTTGTTTTCATCTTGTGTACAAGCCGTAAAGAGTGTACCCCGTAGTGACCATTTATGTTGTAACATAAAAAAATAAGAAGGTAGCAACTGAAACGATGTTGTTGGATCACCTCTAATCAATTTTAATGTCTGCTCACGTGACCTCCATGCCTTCATATAATTCACTGATACTCCATATTTGTGCAACATGTCATTTGAGATATCATTAGGAGTGTCTATTGTACGTGAAGAAGTGTATTTATACCTGATGTAGTTTGACACCATTGAGCTAGATGCTTGTCGATGAGATCCTAAAACAATGTTCATTGAGCATGTGTGACCATTATAGACTTCCCTGATCTTAAACATTTTCGTTTCTCCCAAGCGTGAAGATCTAAATATCCACTTGCAATCATCTTGGGAACACTTTATTACGTACTCTTTTTTGTCCGATCTCAACACCTTATATTCAAATTTGTTTTATATGGCATAGAGGGCCAAGCTCATTTTCAGTACTTCCTTATTGCGAAAAATATTTCCCTCTGCTACTTCTGTAGCATTTGTTTGAGATATCAATGTTTCCGTTCTCAATTGTAGTAACCGAGTCACATATATCCTGAGCTATTTGTTGTAAAGAAAACACATTAGTCGATGACTCAATGGTAGTAATTGATGACTCTGGGCATTGCAATGCACCTGTTGACTGCCATGAGTCTGTAGTAATAACATCAACTGCAATAGGATAGTTTGATACAATGCCATCCAAAGATCTTAGCCTCAAATACGTTAAGACATTATTATTACTTAGTATCCGAACTGGAGGTAAACTAAAATCCAAAGAATATATTAATCTCACACCTACTTCTATATGATTAAGCCCCAATTCTGAAATAACAAGGTTAACCAACTCATCATACTTGCACGTATCATTCACTAGTATAAGTGATGTGTGACCTCCATATAACAGGCACACGTTCAAAATTGTCATCCTTGATCACAAACAAATAACAGAATGTCACATTTCATTCACTAAAATCAGGAAATGATCAGATGCAATGACATTGATGAATGTAGTCCACAGATGAAGAAGTCACAGATCTATCAATACAGGTCACAGAAGTTATTTAATGTAAAGAAATTCACATACGGTCAACAAATTTAGTGTCGCAGAGAATCAATTTTCAATGCAATGACATTAATCACAGAATAAACTAATTCTACTTATGGACTGTCAAAGACATTTAACATATATGTCACAATCTATTTAATTCAGTGGTCACAACTAGTCACAATTAACAAAAATATGCACCAATGTGATTGAATCACAAAAACAGTCATAGATCAACACGTTCATGACTGTAAATTGAAAAACAAAAATTGCATACTACCAATGGTTAATGAAAAAATACACGTCACACACTGGGCAAAATATAGTTTATTCTTAATGGCGTGAAATCTCTGATTATGTTTGGATAAATGTTTCAATAGCTTCGAAAACACCTGTTTCTTCAAAATCATAAGCTATACTAAGTAATTATATGCTTACCTTCGAAATCAGATCAAAAAACTTCAGTTTCTGCTTTGGGCAAATTGAATTCTTCCATACTCGAACTTCGACTTTCTCCAATTAAATGAAAATTACCAGCATATCGACGTTATTGATCGATTGCAGAGAATGCCAGGGAAATTTTCGTGATGTTTTTGAAGAGTTTTTGGTGAATCTGTTGCTTAGAAAGAGAGTTTTTGTGTAACCCGTTTTGTAGAGAGAGAAAATCTTGTTTGATTATGGTTGGAAAATAAAATATGTCTTTAATTATGGCATATTAGTAATTTGTAGAAGATTATAATTTTTTTTATCCAAATTTAACGTATATAACATTATATTTTTATATATTTAATATTTTCAATTATCACCTGGATTATGAAAATTTTAAGGAACTTTGTTAATTGTGAAACATGTTTATATAATATAGTAGATATGTGGTTATCCCCTTTTTTTTTCCCATTTTTTTAAGGGTTTAGGGAGTTGAAGGCAAAATTGGTTTTTCATTTGTTTTCCCTTCTGCCTATGACGATGCTACCGACGATCGACCTCCAATTTCTCTTCAAGATTTCAAATCGGAGATCATAATCAATAAATGGACGATGATAAATTGATAATTCCTCAAAAGGCTACTCAAGTGTAGATTATTCTTCTATAACTAGCAATGAAATGTAGAGGCGGAGTGCCTTCAGGCTTCAATCCATGACTCATGACAGCTAAGGTTGATTTCGTCGGGGGCCCCAATTTATGGATTTCGCCTTAGGCTCCGACGATCACAGGACAGGCCCTGAGTGTTAAAGACTAAGAAATTAAGAAAGTTCTCATATAATATGACAAAATCTCCTTCGTTTATGCTCTACACAAGCAATACACTTGTGAAGAGCCAAATAATGATGTCTGATATAATTACTTTTTAAAATTGTATGGCATTTCTTGCCCGATGCATATGACAATTTTTTAATTAATAATAAAATTATTACTTGACTAAATTTGTAATTGCAATCATTGAACAAATGATTATTAATTAAAAATTGATTTTTTCAATTACTTTTAGAAATTAGTCATTTTAATTTAATGAATGATAGAAGGAAATTCACTGTGTATTTTCCGAGGCTCACAGCTCTCTTGCCAAGATTTTATCAGCCATTTGTTTATGTTATGTCAAGTCATCTACGTGTAAGTGGGGTCCAGAAATAAGTATTTTTCCATTTATTTCTTTGCTAAATTTGTTCAACGTTAAATGCGCACTAAATTAATATTGCTCCTCTTGTACATTCGACGTGCTTAGCATGTCACATGAAATAAAATTAAGATAAAAAGTTGAAAAACGGTGAAAGAACTTGTAATGATAACAAGTCGTACATTTGCCAACGACCATGATATATTGTAAATCAAATGAGAAAGATGTCTATGAATTAAGTAGTCCAGCCAATAAATGAGGAGTACTTAGAATTAGTAAGTTGTGTGTACTAAAATAACTACACAAGATTGTGAATATCAAATAAGAAAAAAACTTTAATTGAATAATCAAATTGTTGGAATAAGACTTGTTATTTAGTAAGTTGTACATACAATAATGACACGATAATGCACGTGTCAAATAAAAAATCCTTTTTTCAACTAGGTAGTCGAGTTAATAAAATAATATAATAATGTACCAATGCACTTTCTGCCTCAAATTAAAATTATACGTATTCGTGCTTTCACATATAATCGTAATTAATAATCCCTTATGCGTTTGGATCAAATCTAACTGACTAGGACTCTATTTCGTTCTTATTTACAAGAGTAACTAAGTGGGAAATGGAATAAAATACTAAATAATTTAGATATATTATAGTTATTAAAAGATATAAAATATATGGAAAATATCCAGCGACCAAGAATCACGATAATTTATTAATTGCTTTCACATTACTCATAAGTCATATCTTGATTTAAGCAAGTATAACAGAATATCTCCTCCTCTTTCCAGGAACTTGAAGGCAACAAAAATATAGAATTATTGTACTATCTCCAAAAATATATATAATAAATAGTGTAATTAATATGTACCATCCAAATATGTAAATTAAGTGGTTCTTATCGAACTGCTTAAACATGGTCTCAACGTTTTTTTCTAAGCTCTTTTTACGTTTTCTTTCACTACAGAAAATATTGATATGAGTGTTGAATTGACCATATACAATAATACTTTGAAGATCAAGCGTAATAAAATACAGAATTATAGTAGTATTTATTGGACTTGACTTGGCCCGATAAGAATACATACTTTAAGGAATCTACAATCAACCATCACTTAATTGTCTAAAATCGAATTAATCGATCGATTGGAAGCACTTTTCAATGTCAATTTTTTCGATATAAAATCTTCTACAAGGGAGTGAATTGACCCTACAAAATCAAGAAAAAAATAGAGGGAATCGCGACCATAGGCCAAGACATCTTCTACGACCTATTTTAGCAACTATAACTAATTCACCGAATTAACATTAACTGACACTTCACCGGTAGTCGGTCGTCCGTTGCATTGCATTTAAAATGAACAGCCTGAATCCTATTCACGTAAATACATAAATGGAGAATTTACACCCCTCGGAGCATAGCTCAGTGGTGCAAAGGATATGAGTGAGGTTATCGTATACCTTGTTGGCAGTCGCAGTGTGGAGGTTCAATTCTTGAAACATGGAATTAAACTCGTTGTAGGCGCAGTGTACAGACAACTCTTGTTCTCTGGCCTACTGGAGCACATTTCGCGATTTACGTCCCTCACAAATTTCTAGGGGCGAGACGGTGCAGGCCCTCAAAGTTGGAGTTCAACCTTTATAAATGGAGAATTCAATTATGCACTCAATCGACGTACTCTTGAAATTAGGCAAGAGAGAGAGAGAAAAAAAAAAAAAGTCGTAATTTTCAATATCATTCTGTGTTTCTCTCACATTCCACCTCAGTTGCCTAAACAGATTCATCAAAAACCCTAAAATCTGAGACGACTCCACTTAATTCGTTGATGATCACAACGTATTTACAAAGGATAAATCGGAAAAAAGGAGGAAAAAACTGTTCTAATTGCAAAAAATCATCATCATTCATCAGCATATGGCGACGATACTCCAAATTCAATGAATTAATTACTTTTTACTTCTGTTAATCTGTTCTTCCATTGATTCGTATTCACTACCGGAATTCATCAGAAAGATAACTCAGTATATCCTGGAGGTCACGTGAATCTGAAACTCCGCCATTGATGCTCAGAGCCTCCAGCACTCGCTCGAAGAGGAACACATGGCAGGGAATCCGTAAAACACCTTTTTGTTCATAACCGTACTCCTGTGCCGATTTATTCAGAAGCTTTACAAAAATCGGATGATTCAAAAGCTCTGCACTCACAACAAAGCGTTCCATTTCCTCGCCAACATACAACGGCCAGTGTCCCTCCGGTATACCGCTGTTCTTCCGGAAAGACACAGACCCCCGGCGTCTCATCCTCGACTCCGATCGGAAAAGATAATACTGTGAAGAATTTGCTACTCTTGCTAGCCTCCGTCTCAAACTCTTCATTCTCTCAAGAAAATTTTCAGTATTGTTTTAAATTAATTTTAGAGAGAGGATGAGCTTTTGGGATATTTGAAGAGAGATGGAGGGTTTAAATAGCAGATATAGTGTACAGACACGTACAAAAGCTACTGGGAGGCACAGATGAGTTATCCCAGTTGTATGATCAGGATTGATAATTCCAATTAACAATCTGCTTACGGGTGGAGGATCCACGATTTTTGGATTTTGATATTTGTTCAGTCCTAGTAGGATTGTACAAATTACACTCACTCACAACAAGGGGGCCGCTTCAATTAAAAAAAAAAAAAAAAGTGCGGGCCCTCTCTGTTGTGAGGAGTTTGTCAACCTCCATGTAAATGAGGCTATACCTCTAGCATGGCTCACGATTTTTTTCTTCAATGTGGGCCCTTTTATCATGTGTGCAATTATCAATTGAGGTTGTCAATCCTGATTATACATGTAGCATAACTGGGCACAGATAGGCGTACTTGGCAAGTACAATTATTGTTGAATGTTGTAAAATTATCCATTTATCCTCCTAAGAATTAAAATTTTAATTTTAATCTAAGTCAAAGTTAACAATTAAATTTTAATCAATAATAATTCATGAAATTCTCAATTTTAAGTTAAATAATTTGTACAATAATTTTGTACAACTAATTTGACAATCTACGAGGTGTAAACATTCTGACTGTTTAAATCAATGGCCAAGTTTGTTTAACTTGGAAAGACCAATTGTTCTTTGGTAGGAGTGGAAGTTAAAAAGAGAATTAGACAATCGAAAAATATAGATAATATTTCACAGGAATGATTTTCTCGTGAATTTACAACTTTTTTGGCATGAAACAACTAATGATGCAGGATAATTAAAAAAAAATGACCCTAATACAAATTCAAGAAAGTAGATAAGAAAATATGTCTTTTGCAAAATGCTCTATCACATGATAGGACATGCTCCCAAAAAAAAAAAAAATAAATAAAAATTGAAAGAAAGAAGGTGATACAGAGAGTAAAACTTCCTCTAACTATTAACCTCTAGAGTTGAAAATTGGGGGATTTGGAATTTTTCAAGAAACTTTTCCATTCTCCCCATAAAGTCAACCTTAATTAGTTAATTCTAAGTCTGTTTTTCTCTATAATATAATAAAAAAAGTTCTTTACTTTAGAAGTTAGACATATTATGTATTGGTAAATTAACTTATTCATTTTTCAAATTTGATTATTCTAAGTTGTGTTAAAATTTTACTTGTTCCCTTAAAAGTGAACTCACTGGAAAAATATAACGGGTATGTTAATGCATAAAGAATTGTATATTGGTTTAGCTTGCTCTTTTGAATTGGATTGGATTTATGTGATAGAAAAACATAATATAGCCAATAAAATCGGTCAAATCTTGGATTTGCTCCCCAATGATCACCAGCTCGAGTTCCCTCATGGCCACAGGTGAGTACCCGACTGTAAATTTCATGCCTTGTGAGATTAGTGGATGTGCGCGTAAGTTAGCTCGAACACCTACGGTCATAAAAAAATAATAATAATAATATAGCCAATGGAATCGGATATTGAGGAACCAGACATGAAGGGTCTTAGAAAAGCTGTTGGACATTTCTTTGTACTCACCAGTGAGTGTTCCCCATGGTGACTAAGGAAACAACGTGGGATTTAATCTATGAACACAACTTTACAACTCCTAAACCAAGTTGTAGAGGGGTCATCGATGTCTGTCTTGGCAATTTTCAATGCTTAATTTTCATTTTCTTTTTGGCTAAATCTGGGACATTTTTTTTTATTTTTATTTTTTTCCAATAGGTTCTAATGAAAGGACTACAATATCAGTTTAAAATCAATATTTCATCGGTAGCAATCCTAGGATGCACAGAAACTTCTTTGAAATAAATTTGTCGTTGGTAACAAAATAATTATAATGCTACATTTTATAATAAAGCTAAATTTTCTATTTCGTGTGTCGGTCGTCCTAGGTGCTTTATCAATTCAATAAAGAAATTGTGTTATTTCACCCATTTGTTGAAAGAATTAGGGGTTGGCATGGTCTTGTTCAGTTCGGTTCTTGAACCCAAAATTTTTGGGTATTTAGTAAGTTGAACTGTCAGGTCCAAATTTAATTATGGAACCGTTCGAGTTCGACTCCATTTGGTTCAATTTGGTTTGGTTTCATTCCATTTGGTTCCCAAGTTCTATATTATAATTATTTTTTTTAATATTTACAAAGCTATATTAATTCAACTAATGATATGTTTAATTTTAGCTCTTACAAAATAACGTAATCCAATCTTATATGTCTTTTGCGCCTCTCTTTACCTCTTCATAAATTTGATTGTTAAAATCACAGGAAGAAGACGATAGCGAGCTTGAAATAATTAAGAGATGTGCTGTCAAGTTTCAATTTGATTTCTTCAGAACGATAGAAACAGCACTACGATAGAATAATATATTTGGATAAAATTTAGGTCAATTTAATTAAATTGGGCTTGGACTGAAAATTAGAAATAGAAAAATCATATTTTTGGATTTGAGTTAAATTAACTAATTAACAATTTTATTTAGAAAAAAGTAATTTGGCTTTTTAAAAATAAATAAATTACGAAAATTCGGTTCTTGAACTAGAACCGAGAACCAAACAAAATCGAACCTGTTAGTTCTCGATTCAGATACTCATTCGGATATTTAACTTAAGAAGAATTGTTCGATTCGAGAGTTTTGCCCCCACCATAAAAAAAAATAATGATACGTAGTGCCAAGGGCTTAATGATATTATAGTCTATGTGTCTTAAGTGATAAAACATCTTAAATGAGACACGTGACCTTACTTTTAAGATGATCTCTCAATTGATGATCAATTGATGACACTTGAATAACACCTAATGTTTAACATTAGTGGTACAAATAACATTACTCTTATTAAAATTCGTACACATATTAAGATGGATGTCCTCAATTAGGATTTTAAAAAATTATAAATTTTAATGAATTTTGTGAATTTGAATAGATTTCTATAGAATTCATAAAAAAATTTGTTAAAAATAGTGAAATTTCAAAGAGTTTGTTATGTATAGCTTGAAATCTATTCAAATCTCTTGAAATTCTTATAAATCCATGAGTTATTGGAACACTTGAATTTTAATAGATTAAGGACACCTGAATAGGACTTTTAAAATTGACTAAATTTTCAGTTGAAAACACCCTATAATAGGTTATATTATACATATGTATTTTGTTTAAGATGATAATGATCATATATGTTTGATATTTTAGAGAAACTATATTGATTGTGGTATTTTTGTTGTTTAATTTATATTAATAATTTATGAAGTTGAATATTGAATTTACAATAAATAAATTGATAATTATTATGTTTCCAAGTCGTTTCATTCCCCACTATTTTAAGAAAAAAAGGATTTCTCGTGTAGTGTCCTTTTTCCTTTCCTGTTTCCATTTTCGTGCAACTCTGTAAGGCTCTAATAAATGAAAAATAAATTATTTAGTGAAGGATAGTGCAGATAACAAGAAGTCAAGGGTTACAGGATTAATCGAATTAACAAAAATGAATTCTAAAACGATGACATTTATGATTCAATTAATTAATATAACGTGTTATGCAGTTGATAAGACAAATTAATGCCATAAATATGATTTTATTTATGCAGTTCTCTTTTTCTACCATATAATAAGTTAGACCTGTTGTCCAACAAGAATATTTAAAATTATTTAATTTGGTGAAAAGCCAAGTTATTCATGCAAGCATTAATATTTTATTAAACTTTTCATATTTGATGCAAATAAAGGAGAAATTTGTATTTAAATTGAGAAAATCTTCTTGTTGCCGGCTAACTCGTCATGAATTCAAGTTTTAATAAATTCAAGAGAGGCTGAAAAATTGTAGCTCTTGCGGATATATAAGAGCCATTGAACTTTTGCATACGTCATCACGCAGCGTTTCACTTCTTCTAAAGATGAAAGGTCATGTCATGTATTCTAGAAAGCATAGAATTCGACATGTTTCATTTTCAAGAAGAGATATAATTATATTTGATGCTATCAAAAATCGCACATGTTGATTTCCCGAGCTTAAGGACCTTGTATGAGCACGATCGTAATCTTCCGATACTTAAAATAAAGGCAACGAGGTGTGCTCTCGTCATCCCTCCAATGCTTAAGTTAGAAAAGAAATTTATGCGTACCTAGGCAATGACCCAACGCTATGTATTTATAAGGGCAGGTAGTACACTTCTACTAGGATTTGAATTGGTCGAATGTTCTTATCCAATAGAGTTCCGTCAGATAGAGGACTTGGAATGATGATGGAGTCCTCATAAGAGTCAAATGGTGATGTAGTTGGATAGAGTTAGAGTTCTAAGCTCATAGGAATCCTATTGGATCAATAACGACTATCGTGGGCTATCAAGGATAATCCATTCCCGAGGACCATACATACCCAAGGATGTAAATCACAGAGTGTGGACACCGCATGATTGTCAATCTTCGTGCACTTATTCCTGAAGAGACCATGTGCTTGAGCACAAGGATGGTGAAATACCAAGGAAAGGCCACTCCAAGTCCTCGGGAATATAATGTTCGAGCATAGCCAGAACCTAGCACATCACTGGCCCCCGTGCATCCATCCTTGGGATTGAGCCAAAAACATCATCCCAAGGCGCGAGATACACGGAGCTCAAGTTACTGGTTGATAGTGTCGTCAAGGTTGTAATGTTTAAGGAGAGACGTCGAGATGCAAATTGCACGAGCGCGAGCTACCTCAGTGAAAAAATGAAGGGTTTTTAGATGGGTGACACGTGGCAAGGGTCAAAGGCTGTGATTGATATGACCTTTGGTCTTCCCCCATGGTTCTATAAATACCCCTTGACCCCATTCATTTTTTACTTTTTACTCTCTGTGAATCTTTCTGTCCGGGATCGAGGTCAAGCTAAAAACTTAGCTTTGTTGTTTAAGCGTCGGGTTATTGAGGTAAGGCTCCGGACCTTTAAGTTATTTCTTTAGTTTTAAATTAAAAAGAGATGTCGAGTACATAGAGTGATCAGGGATCTGAGAGTTCGGGAGACACTAGGGACGGTGTTGGGAATTTACTTAAACATGCACAGCGGAAATAAAACAGTTTCAATTCCCACCAGGATTCATCTTTGTATTTAGATAAGAACTGTGATGACAATTATACATTTTTCTTGAATTTGCAAACTCCTTTACGTTATCTTTGTTCCAGCAACTT